GTGCCATGAGACTGTTTCCCTAAGTCTTCCTATTAGAAAACTGAACTAGTGCTGTGATGATGGGTTATGTCTAAGAAGTATCTCTACCGATGGCCGTGGTGTGTGTGTGTGTGTGTGAGAGAGAGAGAGAGAGAGAAAGTCAAATGGTCCTTCCCGTTGGGGCTCCAGTTCATACAGATAGGGGCTGGTTTCAACAGAATGCATTTAGACATGTCTCTGTGATTGGTGGGTGCATTGCAGTTTCATTAGGGTGCCTTAAAAAGGATTTTTTAAAAAGGTCCAATCAAAACTGGCTCCAGAGGGCCACTGCTGGGCCACTTAAAGACTAAGAAGGTCAGCTCAGAAAAGTTGTGTGTTCTGATTTTTAGGATACAAAGGTGCCATTCTGATAGATTTTCTTGAAGGACACAGACGGCCATGGGGGCTGTTAGGAAGAAGTTGTAGGAAAATTGAATTAGTGGCTTTGGTGAGAAAAAGCCCAGGAAGTTGACCTGAGGGTTGCTTGTGACAGTACCACCTGCTCTTTTATTCTTCATGGGGAGTAGCAAGGGCTGTCCTGTGAGCATTTCGTTGGTAAATCACTCCATCTGCCTACAGCCTTGATCTTCTCCCCTGAGACACCATCTCGTTTCCCAGGAGAACAAGGTCTGGGTCCCTCCAGGGTGCCCAGACTGCTGCTTGAGGTGATGTAAATCAGCGCAGATGCCTTAGGGATGGGCTGGGGAGCGGAAACACTGCCTTTCAAGTGTGTGGACTTAGCTGGAGGATGTGTTGAGACAACTTCACATTAGCAGAGAAGAGATAGTTGAGTGGGGATGCAGTTCCTACATATTGGAAATGAATCTTGGTATCTAAGGGTAAAAGTTAACCCCTTTCTTGCTGGACATTATTTCACTCTACAGTAAAGAATTTTTATCCTAGTTCAGGATCTCCTTGAATATTAACATCTTTTAATGCATATGAGGGGCCCACAAAAATGTCTGGAAACGTGGACTTGAGAAATCTTGGAATTTTCTCACGAGAGCGTTCTGAAGACTCCTCGTATGGTCTGGTCTGGTCACTGAGAGTATGAACATTATTGTTTTCATAAGAAACAAATTTGTAAACTAGAATTTTTAGTATTTGAGTATGTGAAACATTTGCAAGGTTCCTAAGTTAAACTAGGTAACAAGGAAATGACCATGTTCCCCGGTTATGGTTTCTGTAGGCTGTTCCCCACGAATGAGCAGGATTCTGGGCTGGGGGGCGGGGTGGTGGTGGTGGGGGTGCTCTTTCGGTCTCAGAAAACCAAACGCACCACCATCAAGTTGTGACTGACTTCCAGTGCCCTGTGGTCAGGGTAGAACTGCCCTGGTGGGGTTCCCAGACTGTAGTGTTCAGGGAGTTGAAAGCCCCATCTTTCTAGATTGAGGAGTAGGAAAAACAAGCTGAATTTGCAATACTTTTGTGTGGCAGAAAATAAACTATTACTGGAGTCATGTAATAAAGACCAAACTTAAAGGGGCAGCAATTGACTGAAGATTTGTACATCAAAAAGGAAACTCACAATTAATTGAAATATGTAGACTATATAAAAACCCGTTATGACAGGATTTTCCTCAACACACATATGCACCCACACATACACCCATACTTCTTCTTAGATATCATTGGAATTAACTAGCGCATTGAATTCTGATTTTGAACACTAACAATTAGAATGATGCATTTACCTTGCTGTTAAGCTTAAATGAGTTGTATTTTAGAATAGCCAGGTGGCCCTAGTTGAAAAGCTTGTTTGCAGAAGAATTCCTAACAAATGTAGCTAGAATAGAGTTAGAAAATCGCCGGCATAAAACCATAGGCTCACACAGTAACTATTAATGGACGAAAAGCCTCAAAGTGGGAAGGTACAGGTAGTTTACATTGCAGAAATTCAGACTCTGCAGCTGAGCACTCGTAGTGTTGCTGAAATGGACAACCTGACGTGTTGTGGACTTCCTGGGCACTGCCGAGTAAGCGTTGGACTGCTAACCACATGGGTGTTGGTTCAGACCCACCAGCCCCTCCTCAGGAGCAAGATGAGACTGCTCCTGTCCAGATTTGTAGGTGTGGGGACCCTGTACAGAGTTGCCGTGAGTTGGAGTCCCCTCAGTGGCAGCGGGGGTGGACTTTAGCTCTGTCACACAATTCCTGTTACTGTCAAAAGTTTAAATTCAATCAAATGAAGCATTCGACACTAATCTCTGGGAGACATAGAATAAGTTAATGATATCACAAGGTGATACAGATTCAGAATGGAAGACATTCTAGATACATTTGCACCCCCTGTGCACCAGTCAGTTTCATGAAGAAGAAAAAATGGTGGGGTGACTGTTCTAGATTTTAAAAAAGCTTGGTCAACTTAGTAACTCAGCAAAGTGTTTAGGCCCTGTTCAAACCAACCGACCTCTACAGGTCTTTAAAATTTTTATAATCAGGGAAGTTTTTATATGACTTGGGTTATATAGGTGATTGCAGCATATGGCAATGATTCTAAAAGGAAGTGTCTATAATTTTAAAAACAGATACTGAGCTATATGTAGGCGCAGTGACAGTCTCCGGGAAAATTTGGGCTGGGCATTGGGCTGCTAAGCACAAGGTCGACTGTTCAAATCCACCAGCCACTCCCATGGGGAGAAAGATGAGGCTTTGTGCTCTCCCAGAGATACACAGTCTTGGAACCCTTACATAGGCTTGTCATGAGTGTGCATTGACTCAGTGGCAGTAGGTTACATATGTTTATATAGTAGCTTTTAAAGAATACCGTATATACTTGAGTATAAGCCGAGTTTTTCAGCACATTTTTAATGCAGTTTTTGTGGTAAAATGAGGTGCCTCGGCTGATATTTGGGTCAGCTTATACTCAAGTATATATGGTAGATGGATATTTTCAGAAGAGGAAATTTCTTTAGATGCAAATTTTAATTATGGTTACTACTTAGAGTTAACTTTTTTTCTAGTGATGAGATCATTCAAAATGATGAGGCTTAAGTTTTTTTACTGGTAAAATTATTGTATTTGCTTACAAGCCTTGAGTTCTTACCCAATATTCTTGTGTTTAAAAGGATTTATTTCTGAAATTCAGTAAAATTAAGGAAGATTTTTTATGCATGACGAGACAAATGATTGCAAGTGGGTTTTTCATTTGTCTCTGGCTATATGGTTCATTTTTGTAGTTTTGATAAAACAACTTTTACTTGGTATCTGGCTTTGCAGTTTGCTCTCCGTACTATGCTCTTGGGATCCCTTGATCCAGAAGCTAGTCTCTGAATAACCCTTTCCCCATCTTTTCTAGGTTAGCCAGAGGAGGCATTTTCGTACTGTGGACAGTTGCCAACGATAAGACCATGTCGTCCATCCTGCCGTTCACCCCGCCAGTTGTGAAGAGACTGCTGGGGTGGAAGAAGTCGGCCAGTGGCTCTGGGGGAGCCGGTGGAGGCGAGCAGAACGGACAGGAAGAAAAGTGGTGTGAGAAAGCCGTGAAGAGTCTGGTGAAGAAACTAAAGAAAACAGGACGGTTGGATGAGCTTGAGAAAGCTATCACCACCCAAAATTGTAATACTAAGTGTGTCACCATACCAAGGTGAGTGCTGTTGATGGCCAGGTTTCATGAGCGGACTGTGGACACTTGCTTAAAAGAACCAGAAGTCACCTGTAGATAGTGACAATAGGACATGACAGCTGTTGTTACTCTGTCATTTCAAAAATACAATTGTGTATTTTTTAAAAATTTATTCTACAGATCATTTTCTTGAACAGTGAAGATATTTTCATTGAGCAAATCTAAGATGTTTAGAGCTTACTAAGTTTTATGTGCATGACCTACATTTGCATGTCATCCTACTTTCTGTGACTGAATGATGTGTGAATCAAGATCCTAAGCTTTTCTAACTAGTCAGTAGTCAGTAATTGCTTTCTCTCCTCTTGGTCAAAACCTTTGATCATATGAGTTACATGAGGCTGTCGCCCTGTGGTCAGTTTAATGTAGTTTTTGTTTGAATTGCATCATTATCTCCAAGCAGAGGCAACTTCTTAGAAGTCAGTAATCCATCAGTAGAACTCCGCTTGAAGGACCTACCTGCTGTCTTGCAAGGACCTGTTATAAAAGACATTGGAACTTTGTTAGTGTTAATTTACCCATTTACAGATAAATACCATAATCAGAATAGTTAAGAAAAAAAAAGGCAGGTGGTTTGTAAGTATGATACTTTTGTGTGTCTTGGAGGATGTCTTGGAACATCTCCCCATAGATTTGCTAACTCATTGTTTGCAATGTCATATATGTGGGCTAGCAATTAGCACGTGAAACCACTCTGCTTGACATACTTCCAGTGCATGTTGAGAAGTATCACCTGTCCCTTCCTGATAATAGCCCGGTGAATAACAGCCTGTCTGCTTGCAAGTGCCAACAGGAAAATGTTTCCTTTATTTTACTTACTCATTTCATGTATATCTTATTTTTCACAAATGTTTGTTGACTGTCTGCTATGCACGTCCGAGAGACACCGAGGAGACAGTGACGGACACAGCCCTGCCTTCATATGAATAGATATCAGCAATAAAAAGGATGGCATTCTTAGTATTTGGGATGGTAAAATGAGTACAGCGAAAACCACAAATGAGATGACAGGTTAGAGCAGTGGTTCTCAACCTTCCTACGGCCACGACCCTTTCATACAGTTCCTCATGTGGTGGCCCCCCCAACCATAAAATTATTATTTTTTTCTTAAAATTATTTTCATTGCTACTTCATAACTGTCATTTTGCTACTGTTATGAATCTGGTGACCTTTGTGAAAGGGTCATTCGACCACCAAAGGGGTTGCGACCCACAGGTTGAGAACTGCTGGGTCAGAGGGTGCTTGAGGGCTAAGAAAGCAACTTTGGAATAAGTGGTGATGGGTCCGCTGAACTCTGAAACAAAATAACTAGCCAAGGAAAGAGTCTTCTGGGCTGAGGGAGGACCAGTGTGAACTGTGATGTGGGAAAGAACTTAATGGATTGGAGGTTAGTGGAGCCCAGTGCAGGTGGAGTGGTAGAACGAGTACAGAACTTGAGAAGAATTAGATCATACAGGACCTTCATTGTAGGGCATTGTGGGAGTTTGGATTTTCCTCTCTTGGGAAACAGTTGAAGACTCAACACCTGTGTACAGTTTTCAAAGGTCACTCTGGTTGTTGGACACAAATGGGAGATTGTGTGTGCATGGGTGTGTGTGTGGTAAGGTGGATTGGTAGTCCTGTGAGTAGGGAAATGAGTTAAGTTCCCTGAGTGAGAGCTGGAGGTAGGGAGGCTGTTAAGGTCTCTGAGTGAGAGTTGTTGGTGGCCATGCGAGTCTGTGAAGTGGAGTCACCAGCCTGCATTCTGGTAAGGTGATGACTTGGCTGGGACTACTCATCATTGCAGTGCTGGACCTTTTCATTCCATGAAAATTTATTAAGTGCTTACTTCATAGTCCTCACTGCTATGGTTGTTTACTTTCTGGTGATAGAAAAGAAAGCAAGGTGAATTTCCTAAGGTGGGTGTAGTTGGTGTTAGGAAAGCGACTGTGTCCACAGGAAAAGGTGTCCACAGGAAAAGGGCTGTGTCTACTTTGCTGGCTGTGTTAAGTTCCTTCTTGAGCAAGATGGTGCCTGAGTCGAGTCGACTTGACCATTGTAAAAGAGGAGAAACCGGTGTCTTCATCAGGAACCTCGTGGTTTGGAGATGTGAAGGTAGAGCTAGAGGAGGAGTGGCCAGTACTGGCCCCAGAGTGGAAAGTGAGGACTGGGGAGTGGCAGGAGGGGGTGGTGGTGGTGGTGGTGATGATGATGATGATGATGATGATGATGTGTGTGCGCGCATGCGCACAGGGAGTAAGGAACTGCAGCTGGCTGTGTGTGTGTGTATTTGCACAGGGAGTAAGGAACTGCAGTTGGCTGCACTAACTATATGCTAGTTGAGAATTGGATGCTAGCAGGCGATGGGGGGAAGGTGGACGAGTCATAAATCAGGCATTTGAAGTCCAGCATGCAGCCTCTCTGAGGAAGGGTTGTGAAACCATCCTGAGTGGAGGCAAGGAGCCTGTGCGTACGTTCCTTCCCGCGTCAGAGAGAGCTGTGCCACAGGAAGAGATGGAGCCATGGTTTTGCATAGGCCCATCTCAGACTGGAATTGCCTTCACAATTTGGCTCTCCACAGCCTAGAGCCTGAGCCTAGCTTCCTGCGGTGTTCTTGAAGGAGGCTCAGTGGAGTTGTGAAAGCTGCGAATGCAGGTTTATCTATAGAAACTGCTAGGTCCCTTTCGTCGTAGGCTTTTCCTTGCTGCTCACTGTCCTTTCCCAGTCTCTTATAGACACTTCATAATCTAGGGCTCCTGCAGCAGTACTGTCTTTGCTGATGAAAGTGAAATGGTGGTTATCCGGTATCTTACTTTCATTATCGGAAGTTCCTTGTAGCCTAGAAATGGAGTTTACTTAATTTAGTGTTTTTCTTTTTGTTGTAAATGATATAGATTCAGTGATATTGATTACTGTCTATCCAAAAATACATTCTTTTTACATGATAATTTGGTACCATCAGTTTTATAAAATTTGCTTTATTTTTAGTAATAGAACAATTAAATTGTCTGCTTGCTAATCATTTCTTAACTGTGAAATCTTCAGTATAGAGACTTTAGTTGGAATTGGTGAATTCTGGATGATGTAGAGAGTAAAGGGGGTGGGGGCAAAAAGGTCAGTTAAGGATAAATCTAAACTGTAGTTTAAATAAAATTGTTCGTTAATCTAAACCCTGGTTTAAACAAAATTGTTAATAAGTCATATTAGCCATAGTTTAAGCAAAATTGTCAATTAATCTAAATTTATTAGAACAAAGTAGTTTTGAATTAAACTTCTAAAAAAAAAAAAAAACCCAAAACTTAAAATGGCAAATAAGGTGTTAGTAAAATATCATAAGTTTAAAAATCTTTAAAATGTAAGTAAGTCCAGTTGATGAGGCACATAAAACAGATCACTTAATTTTTTACACCAGCAAATGTTTTCTATTAAAATAGCTGTTTTGTGGACTTTTGTAGTTTTCTCCCCTGTCTCTTGGCACCCAGTATTAAAACAGGACTAACGGTAGGGGCCACAGCAAAGACTTGGCCTCTGTCCTGCCTCCCACCCCCTCCCACCCTCTCCTCACCTAATCACTGCCTTTGGAGTCCAGAGAGCTGAGTGTTGTACTTACAAAGATGCTCCTGCTGCTGCTGCTTCCTTCGCTGGTTGAAGTGGGACCCAAGGTGCCCTGTGGGTAGAACTCACCTGTGGAGTGGCCCTGAGCATAATAATTTAAATAAAGTTTCATGAAGATTTCACATCGCCCACATTTGTAGACTAGGGAATGGGACACGACTTGGCCATAAAATCAGAAAGGCGGCTGAAAGGAGAGCCAGATGTGAGAAAAAAGTGCCTTTGAACGCACATCTTAGCTGCAGTGATGCAAAATTGAAACTGTATTGGGTGTGGGGATTGGTGGAGGATAAAATGGCAATTTTACAATAAAAACCAAACCCATGCCTATTGATTCTGACTCTCAGTGATCCTGTAAGGTCAATCTTGACATCTTTATGGGAGCAGAGCACTGTTGGGTTTGAACCACTAACCTTACCCTTAGAGCTGGACACCACCTGAAACACTGTTCATTCTAAACGTGCAACATACTATCTCCTTTTTTAAAAAATTAAGAATGCATTTTTTAACAATATTCGTAAACAACTAATAAGGGCTTCTTAAGGTTGGTGGCCCTTTGACCATGTAATTGCGATTTGAATCTTCCATGATAAGGACACAATCAGGAAAAAAGTGGAAGATGCCTGATGGCTGGCTTCAGCTACTGTTTATAATAGCCAAGAGTTAGCAGCAACCCAGTCTTGACCATTCATTGCCATGATTCTAAGAATAAAGGACCTTCAGTGAGATGGACATGGTGGCTGTGGCAGAGGGTGAAAACAGAGCACGGATTATGAAGATAGTGTGGAATTGGGCAACATCTCAGTTATGGTAAAGCCACTGCTAGTTGGGGCTGACACCTGGGCAACAACAACAACTTAACTTTACCAGAATCAAACTTAAAAAAAAAAGCCACCAATCTCACTCATTAAGCATCACTGCATATTGTAAGTAAAATAAAATACCAGAAACCAGAGTTCTGTGGGTTATTAAAAAATAAAAAATGTGACTAGATTACATTTATTACAGGAATTAAGGGTGATTCAACTGAAGGAATTATGCTTATATGAGATACCACATATTCATACTTTAAGAACTGAATGATTATGATGGATCTAGAAAGTAGTGAGTAAAGATAGCTATGTAACACAAGAAATGAACTGTTAAATTATATACAGATAAATATATAATACAAGAAATGAACAGTTGAATTATAAGCAGTATAAATGGCTCAGTGCAACTCACTCCCGTGAGAGAGTTTTGAGACACTAGCAGCCCTTTGAGTCTTGAGGGCCACCACGAGTCCTCTGTAGAGAGAGCTAGGCTATATCAGCACAGCAGCAAATAGCAAGGCAGGTCACCAACTGTCAGCCAGGTCACCAACTGTCAGTCCC